CCAACTTGTGAACAGGCAACGTATAACTGCCCATGTGAAAAAAAATGAATTTCTAAATAATCTATTTGAAATTTATCCCGCAAACACTAAGGATTGGCCTTGCGACTTGATATTGCGAACGGAAGGCGAACTGGAAATTGCAATCGTTTGAAGTCAAACGGAAGACCAGTCGGAATCACTGGTATGTCACCAAATCGCCAGCAATTTTTGATTGAATGGTGAAATTCAGTGCGTTGACATCATTATTCTTTGCGGCAAGAATGCTGTTGACTTTATCACTAATGTCATTACTCGAATATTTAATTACTGTGCATGAAGTTCCACCACGAATGCAAAATTGTCGAAATTGGTTCGTGCGTTCTGGAGTTATTTCGTCAGGAAGGAAAACCCGACTTATTTTTATATATATAGAAGATAACGGCTATTGCATAATAAATGTCATAGGAGCACATACAAGGGAATAGTTTAATAGTGTATCAAATATTTTATTGTATGAATTTTCATATTGTAGGTTTTTAGTCATTATTTTAATAATTAGAAAAATCACACAATTTTTAATAATATGATTATAGACTAACCTCACATAATTTTTTGTTATACTGCAATTATAAGGTAAAACTTTTCTTTTTGTGAATGTGAATGCGTCTAGATCCAATATATTACCCAAATTTCATGTCGGAAGTTATAAAATATTCAAAGTCAGAAATAAGGATAAAAATAATAAATTATGGATGCAAAAAATTAGAAAAAATACATTTCATTATTTTTCATATATAACTTTTCCTTCTGCAATTTATTTGTATCTCGTTTTGTGGTGATGATGAACACAATCATCCCTTTTTACGTCATTCACTATTTTGGACTTTATGTCCATTTTTTCTTTACCATTACACATCTTGGTATCTATTGCTTTAAGCTGCAAATAAATTAGTGCATATATAAAAATGAGTAATATTTTATCAGTATAATTCAAGTGCATCATATATCGTTTTATAATAGCGATAAAAAGTCACGCGCATTTGGAAAATAAGGATTTGCATCATACACGCGCGGTACATTGATAATGTCGCCTCATCCGTCGGAAATAGATACAAAATAACGTGACGTTGTTCGTTTTGATACAAATGTTAAAAAATTGGAAAAAAAATCTGAAATTGATAAACTAATTGTGCAAATTAAAGGACTACGTTTTAATTATCACAGTTCATAATGCGCCGATGGTTGAAATACTTGTAAATTATATAAAATTAAAATCTGATATGATTTATTAATTAATAACAGACACCAAACCAAATTTTATTTTAAATTTGTGCTCAACTCATATTGTGTATAAAATACAGTTTTACAAACGAATATCAGAATACAGTTGAATTACAATAGCAGAAGTACTTTTGTGTAATGAGTGGTATTAAAAGATATTAAGTAAAAATTTAAAACAATAAAAATTGTTTAAAATTTAAAACACTTAACCTAAATATACTTAAGTGTCACTAAAACATTGAAACTCGAGCATTTATAAATAAAGCATAATATCTAATAAGTGTCCCATTCATGTACAAGAAAAAGCGAATGATGTAGGTGATTGATCTATGATTTTCGGAAAATTCATTCTAGGGAACAAAATAAAAGAATCTTTCAACTACTGAATGGTGATTACATGGTATAATTTTTTAATGAATGATTGCAAGTTTGTATAGTTTTAAAACATTTTACAATGACGACTTTAAACAAAGTTGTCCTCTAAAGTTGTATAGTGAAATAAGGAAGACAGTGCTTTTATAACGATTTAGAAATAACGGTAAAGTACTTAATTTTTTTAGTTAAATTTTATTATATTTGTTCAAAAAACTATCTGTTTCTTATTATACAATTTTACCGATATTCTATGAAAATTGAACTTTAAAAACAATATCATAAAATGTGTCAATTATTCCTAACTGTATCTGTCTCGAAAGCAACTTTCTTTTCCGACGATGATATATTTGTCTACATACCAGAACGAACGATCATGTGCTCTAATAGAAAAAATCATAACTATTCATATTCAAAAAATTAGGTAACAGAAAAGATACTAAGTACAAAGAATTTGACCGTACTTTTTCTTTGAAACAGTTTTTCAAAATTCGGGAGCCGTAAAACTATTTATGATTTTATTGTATATCATTCATCCGAGACGGCGTTATTGCTTATTGGTACCATTTTTTCGAGTCCATAAAAAACGCATGTTCTTTTGGTTTTTTCTGACATAAGTCCTAATCATGTAGTTTAATTTTTACAAATACACTATGGTA